ATAAGTATTTTTCTTCAAACATATAAAAATCTTCTTCAATAAATACGCAAATAAACAACGCAGTGATCTAATTGTGAACTGGTAAGCAGTATTTTCTGTTGTCTGAAGTTATTGCCCTTATAATTTTAAATTACATTAATTTTTTGCATAAATAAACAATTCTGCTAAATCTGTGTTAATGTAAAAAGATCAAGAATAAACATTTTATAATTTCTTTCAAAATAATGATAAGAATTTCTCTTTATTAAAGAATAAGTATTTTTCCCATTATTTTTTATTGTAAATAAACTATGAAACATCTATGTATTATGCATATATATAGTTTTATTTCAAAAGGGCGAAAAGTAATTGAGTCAGACGGACACAAATAAAAAAACAAGAGAGGGAGAAAGTGGTGAGAGAGAGTGTGTGTGAGAGTGGTTAGAGGGAGAGAATGGAAGGGAGAGAGAGAATGGTGGGGGAGAGGATGAGCGAATGAGAGAGAAGAGTGTGGGAGTGGAGAAGGGAAAAAAAGAGAGCTTGGGAGAGGGGGAAGAAAGAGAGAGTGGATGGGGTAAGGGAGAGAGAGAGAGAGTGGGGGAAAGGTGGGGGAACAATAGAAGGGAGTGGGTGGAGTGAGAACGTGGGGGAAGAGGAAAATGCAAGTAGTTTCGAACATATAACTGGATTGACTTTTGAGATTTTTTTTGAAATTTTGATACTGTAAACTTTGGTTCTCCGGTATGAATACTTCAAAATTTTCTCTTATTATGACCCTCTTGTATATTGATATTCAACTTAATTGTGTTGCAAGTTACCAATCATGTTTTCCAGTAATTCACAAGTCTTCAAAAGTAAAGTATACAAGCTTGTCGAATTTTAATATAGAGAAAGAAGATGGGCGTGTTTGGCGTGTGATCTGCAGGAATAATGATTTTTAAAATAAATCAGTACATCAAATTAAACTGATACAAGAATTGATTATTTGTACTAAAAAAATATTAACGCTCCATGCGAGGATCGAACCAAAAATATTTCTTTTTCATTGCACTGGACGGGTAACGCATACTGCTGAGCTATCACCACTACACACACTATATGGGTTTTAAAACGACATTGAAGCACCGCATTTATACATTGGAATTTTTTTTAAAAATTCATTTTTTATCGTCTCTGGGTCTTTTCTCCATTTTTTTTTTTACTAATGTTTGTTAGTTTCTTTGAATTAAAATCCACACAAATGACGTTTCAAAATCATGGAGAGATGACCCAGAAATAGCAAATTTTTAGAAAGACATGTTTAAAAATATAACATTTTGTACAAAATGACTCATTTAGCCAATTTTCAAGTTATTTTTTAGCAAATCAAAATACAATATCGGGAAAGGAAAATTTTTTCCCTTTCCTATTTCTTAGGAACGCAATACATCAAAAGAATGGTAACATTTCATGTGTCAGATTAATGAAATTTTCACTTTTCAAGTGCGCCAAGATTCCTGCCGAATGCCAATCAAAAGCGCCCTCGTTCTTTGGAGAGATAACAGTGCCACATTTATTTGAATTTTTTTTCTGATTTCTTGTTTTTTAAAATGTATTTCAAAAATTCTATTTTTATTTCTTATTTTAATTCCAACTTTTAGTTAAAATTTTCCAATTTTATATCATTTTCTAGATGTCATTTTATTTAACGATATTTAACAATTAGCTGGTTCCAGTAAAAGTTCTACCAAGCCTCTTTCTTTACTCCTAATTAAAATATCAACGGCAGTGAAGGAGGAACTTCAGGAATACTGTACAACAATACGTTCGAGAAGTGGTGTAAATCAGATGTGGATACTTAAAAATTCAAAGGAACTTTTGGAAAATTTAAAATCACAAAATTTTACCAAAATCAATAACATCAAACCTTACGACTTCTCAACTTTATATACAACCACTCCCAACGATAAATTAAAATCCAGGGCCCCGTTTTACAAAAGAACTTACGACTAAGACCAAAAAATTAGATTGATTGTAATTTTTGCAAAATTAATGATTCTGTTTAAAATTGCTAGAGTAAAAATATCTTAATACATTCCTTTTAAAAAGATTAAAACCATTTTCAATATAATTTAGATTAAAAAGTTACTAGCAGAATTAAATGTTGGTCTTAGTCGTAAGTTCTTTTGTAAAACGGGCCCCAGGCTTTTAGACTTCATTAAACTGCTTTTTCAATAAAAATGGAACTCATAAATTTACTTACCTTGTCATTGGTCATTTGCAAAATTATTTTGTTAAAAAAACATTCTGATTGTATATACAAGTACTCTGAGGTTGATATTAAAAAGATGCTAGAGTTTTTGATTGACAAAATCTATGTGGTTTTTGGAGACTAGGTCTTCCAACAATCTGTCGGATTTCCAATGGGTACCAATTGCGCCCTGTTAGTAACAGACTTATTTTTGTATTTATTTGAAGCAGAATTTATTCAAAATCTTGTACATGAAAAGAGGAAACCACTTGCTGTGGCCTTCAACTCGACATTTAGATATATCAACGACGTACGTATTATCAATTAACAATAGTTATATCCATTCATATGTCGACACGATATATCCCAGTGAACTTGAAATTAAACATACCACAAAAGTCTGACACATCTGCATGTCTCATACTTGGATACTAATATTTTACTAGAAAAAGATGTTAATAGTAACCTAACAACAAAGCTTCATGATAAACGTGATGACTTTAAATTTTCAATCGACAACTTCCCTTACTTATGCAGCAATATACCCTTATCACCTGCATACAGGGTTTATATCTTTTAATTGATTCGTTGCGCAAGATCATGGTATACGTAAACAATTTCTATTAAAATCTGATTAAAAAACTAATTCAAAGGCTACGTATTCGAGAAATTGTAATTTTATTATTCTTTGTTAAGTTTACATATTCCTTACAATCTTAATGGTCCCACCCTAGTCCCTCGGATCGTGAACTGAACATTGAACTTTAAGATGTATTAAAAAAGAATGTTTATATTTTTATAATAATTTAAGTTATGCTTTTAATATGATTAAACTTTAAAATGTATTGAATAAGAATGTTTACCAGGTATATATTTATAATAGTTTCAATTATGCTTTTAATATGTTTGCTGATCTGAGAAGATTTTCTCAGATTTTTTCTGGATTTTTCAATGAAAAGTTATTGCTCTGAAAAAAGCCATTTCTGCTGATTTACTTGAATTTGTCTCTGTCAAACTTTTTACTCTTATCATGGTCCTGCCCTGGACACAGGAATTAGAACCTGTTCACCTCTGTATTCTTAGTAATGTTTCATTTTGAGTTTAACTAATTAAAACACTCTCGCTTTTAAAAGGTAAGTTAAAAAGGTAATAAGATATATCATATTATACATGTTATAATTCAAATTTTAAAAAATGAAAAAAAGCCCACAAATAGATTACATGAAAAATTGTTATAATTATTAATTTTGTATATCTTGGTTGCAAGTTCAACAAAATATTTAATTTTAATCAGTAAACTGAGTTACAGTTAAGAAAAGATTTCATCATTTTGATCTGTATAAAATGCAAATATACAAGTACATGAACATTCCCTTCTTTTGTATCATAGAGATAACTTTCAGTTGATATAAGCCCGAGTGGCGCTGTGGTAGAGCGTCTGCTCTAGAGTCCCGGAGTAAGGGGTTGATCCTTACGTCGCGGGTTTGAATCAAACTGTGGGACGTGGAGACCGGTCCATCGGATGAGACCGTATAAACCAAGGTCCCATGTCGCAGTGGGTGCTGGCACAAAAAAGATCCCTCACTGCTCAATGGCCCTAAGTGCCGAGCATAGGGCAAAATTTGCAGTCTCCACCGTCAAGTGGTGGCGTCTCAATGTGAGTGAAAAATTCTCGAGAGGGACGTTAAACAACAAACAAACAAAAACAGCTGATAGAAAATATGTTTATCTGAACATTAATACTGGCTAACTCGAACGTAAGCGCATTAAAACAATACTTATAGTATCTGTAGTCTTATATCTTATGGTATCTTAATATTTACAATAAGGTATATAAATTATATATCATCTTTTAGTAAATCAAACTATACATCATCTTTAAGGAAATTTTCTCGTTTTAATCTCCGTAAAAAAATTTATGTTTTATACGTCGGTATTAAAAATTTTAACGTTTAAAAACATATTTAGCATTCTGAAAATTGCCCCAAAGCAAGGTTGATTTTTCAACGAATGGAAGATTTTCTTTCTATTTAATTAAATACAGAAATTTGATTTATTTCAAAAGCATGTTTTCTAAGCTTTTGAAAGGAGTAAAATGTATTATTATTACTTTGAAAAAAAAATCGTTTGTAAAAGCAAGATTTTTTTTAAACGTACGTAGTTTTTTTTTATATTTAGGTGTAAAAAATGTGCATTTGTAAATCTTGGCAAAGAGCTAGCTATAGGAAAGTGTACACAGTTGATGTTCTGAAGTCAAATAGCTTATCTACACCCGTTGAACTTAGAAGTGTAAAAAAAAAATCAGGAAAGGTAACCAGAAGTCAAAAAAGGTTTTTTTTCTAATTTAGTTTTTAAGGGAATCTAGAATAGATATGACGATGGGGGACTCAGTGTTGCTTGTGCAATACTCTCAGAATAATTGAAAGTAACTTGCAACTAACGATTACCAAGGAAAATACACTACTTATAACTGACAATATTGTTTAGAGAAATAAAACGACTTTTATCATTAATGATATGTACTATCACGGAGTTGACCTCCTCAGCCTCTGTTGAATTTCATTATTTAAGGACTTTGGAGTCTAAAGTATGAAAATTTCTGACTAGAATTCAAGAATGTTAGATAATTATGCAATTATAAATTCAAACCTGTATTTATCACGTGTGTTTTTGGATCATACAAAAACTAAGAATATGACTTCTGGTAAGTAACCGAGTTTACCTCAATTCTGAGTTAAAATTGTTTTAAAATCTTTTTATTTCTTTTCTGTTATAGAACCAATAAAAAGGAATGAAGAATACATGGGGAATGGTTGTAGCTGTTGCAGCGTTTCTCATTCAGTTTATAATATTTGGAATCTGCCTCTCCTTCGGTATCTATGTTATAGAACTACAAAACGAGTTTGAATCAGGACTATCGATAATTTCATCTATTGGATCCATCCACTTTGGCTTTCTATTTTGTACAGGTATGTTTTATATCGTAACATTGCACAGGTGTGTTTTATATCGCTGTTATTTTGTTTTCAAAACCTCTACGACCATATTGATATTATAATCTCTCTAAATTTAATCCTTCATACAGTTTCATCTTTCTTACAAATGCATAAAAATTGTCCTTTTTGCAGTTGTGAACTGAAGCACATGCATGTATTAGGTATACAGAGAATTTGTCCAAAAATCAAAATGGCACGAATTTAAATTAGTTCTTGTTAGTCTCCAGTTGCCTAACTCTTCGGAAGTCCATTTTGCTTTTCATTTCACAGTAGAAATAAAATTCACTAGGTATCGCATGATTCTTTCAGAATGTGCATGTAACAATAAATACAAAGAACAATTTCATGAGGTGGTTTACAGCAAAAAGCATGTTTTGGTAGACTTAAAGGATAAAAAGGATTTTTAAAAATTGAATGTATTTATGCTTTTTGAAATGCTTTTTTGTTGACCCCTTAATTATCTGAGCAATACTAGTACCTTAATTCACTTTTAGCAATTTTGACATGACATGTCTTTTTCGAATATCTCTTATCATTCTTCTTTGTTATTCTTTGTGTTGTTGTCTACTTCATATATTAGTATTAGTAGTAGTAGTAGAAAAATTTAGTGGTCATTTTTTTCTTTAGAGACTTTTGAATGCAAGTTTGCCCCAAATTCTATATTTACATCAACTTCTGCTGTGTTTAATTAACTATTTTTAAAACCAAGTCATTTCTTAGCCTGTAGAAGATGTATATTCATTTCAGAGGTTTGGTCTGTCTTAAATATTGGTATAAGAAATTCAAAACACAATGAAATAAAAAATTCTGTATATTAAATTGTCATTTTTACATATAGATAATCTTGGGTTGCCAACTACCATTATTTTCCATTACATGATTATATTCCAGGACCATTTGCCAGTTTTCTAATGCGGAAGATATCTTACAGAAGGGTTTGTTTACTGGGCGCCATAATGAGCAGTGTTGGTCTATCTGTTTTACCATTTACTCCAAATATTCCCTTTTTAATTGTGTTCTTCGGAGTATTAACGGGTAATTACAGGTCTTAATTTATCAAGTATTTCAATTTTTTAAGATACTGAAATATTTATTAAAATGAATATGTCTATAATATACTTGTTTTACTGGATTTTTTTAATATATAAATTCTATGTGTTTACGTCTAGGTACTGGCTATTGTTTTCTCTACATTCCATCTCATACTCTTTCTGGACTCTGGTTTGAAAACAATCGAGGTCTAGTTACAGGTATCGTCACATCCGGATCCTCACTTGGTGGCGTGGCGTTTCCATATCTGATTGAATTTTTGATTGGGAGGTTTGGATGGAGAGGTTCCTTTTTTATTCTTGCCTCGCTGAATTTACAAACGGTTGTTTTCTCCTGTCTAATGAGAGAATCACCCATGCAAAAGGCATGGGTAAAATCAAGAACTAAGTATGTCAGCAATAATCTCACCAACAGTACACAGACAATCTTTACAATCCATGAAGATGGAAATGAATTCATAAACAATGGAACAATATTTGAAAATTGTGTTCCAATACAAACTGTTGCAGACCAAACTAGAATCGACAAACAAATTAAACATACAGTAAAAAGATCAAGAATGATGAAACTACTTACTAACTTACCATTTGTTCTATTTATGATAAATAATCTTATGTGGAATTTAGGTTGCTCTGTACAATTGCTTCTTGGGCCAGACTACTACACTAAAATTGGTTTTGCCTTAAGACAAGCAGCTGTGCTCTTATCCGTTCAGCAAGGTACAATGGTGGGTGGTTGTGTCATCGGTGGAATTCTGGGTAATTTCCGCAGCCTAAACAGAAACGGTTTATTTTTAATCTCAAACATTTTATCGGGTTTCTGCATACTTACCTACACATTTCCAGTTCTACAAACGATGGCGGGTCTTGCTATAATCAACTCTCTGTTTGGATTGAGTTCGGGGATAAGTCTTGGATTGCTCGTCATTCTTGTATCGGATTTTGTCGGAAGTCAACTGATTGGGGACGGAATGGGATATCTGATGTTAGCATCTGGAATAGGAATGTTCATTGGGCCACCATTAGGAGGTTAGAGCTTTCGTTATAATTATTCATCAATACTTAATTTATTAAGCAATGAAGTATTAAGTAATAAATCAAAGTACAAAGAATTGATAGGGATTTTTAGCTGCATTTCGGACGATACTTAAAAAAAGTCTTTGAGCATTTGCAATGAAATTTTATATCGCAACTCCCTTTGGCCAGTTAAAGACTCCTATTGATTTTGAGGTCAGAAGGTCAAGGTCAAAAATTTATACCTGTCATGTAAAACTTTCCTGGTGAAAACATTGGTTCTGTTGGATGTTTTTCAACGAAATTATATACCTCTGCCTCAGTGTGACTTTTACCAAAAGAAAAAAACCCATTGTTTTTAAGGGGAACTCATATGTTGCATTCTGAAAGAAATACGCGATACCTTGTGATTTCTATTTGATAAGTATAATATATTCTGTGAAATGAAATGTAAAATGGACTTGAAGAGCATATAGCTGCATTTTTGTCCTCCACTTTCTGAAAGTCCGTAAATACTCCTATTGATTTTGAGGTCAAAAGGTCAAAGTAAAAAATTTAGAGGTTAGAGCTTTTTTATAATTATTCATTCATACTCAATTAAGTAATAAATCCAAATACAAAGAAGTGATACTGATTTTTAGCTGCATTTTTTTCCCCACTTTCACTACAGTACTATTGATCTTTGAGGTCAAAAGGGAATTCATATATTTTATAAGTAGTTTTCAGACGAAATTTTAGTTCTTTATAAGCTTTAGCAATGACACTAAAGGTCATGAATTTAACTTTAAAAAGACCCCTATTGACTTTAAGCCAATAAGCTGTGAGGTCAAGTGGACCTTTTTTTTCTGTATCTGCATTTCTTTAAGGTATTCCACCCTTTTTCCCCTTAAGATTGAGGGACACAAATTCCCTGAATTATCTCGTGTTGAAAAACTTAGTTATTTAAGTAACTGTCAACGTTCACAAGTAAAAGGAGAAAAAGACAAGTGTTCAATGATTTTATAAAAAAAAAAAAAATTCAGTCAATTAATTATATTCCTTTCTTATATCACATCGTCAGAAATATGCAAAATTAGAGATTATATATGATTTCAAACATCAGAATATGAAGCACTATACTTTTTAGAATTTTCGGATGTGTATTTTTTAATTTTAATGGAGAAAACAAAATGTTCAAACATTGATTTGTGTTTATTGTATATATGGAGTTATATTCCAAGGAGAATGTTTTACCCATACAGAAACGTAACCATCTACTTAGTATACAGGATCAGGATGTGCAGACTTTGACTAGCTAATTAATTCAGTTAGGGGTTTGACTATCACACTGGGCTGCCTTTTATAGATCTTATCCAAAACACATCGACTCTGTGGATGTCTTGACCCATTGGTACGGAAGCCCAATAGTGCAAACCAAAAATAAATAAACAAAAACGAAATTATTAAATAAAGAAAACGAATTATTAAATAAAGAAAAACGAAATTATGAAATAAAGAAAACGAAATTATTAAATTAAGAAAACGAAATCATTAAATAAAGAAAAACGAAATTATGAAATAAAGAAAACGAAATTATTCAATTAAGAAAACGAAATTATTAAATAAAGGAAACGAAATCATTAAATAAAAAACTGAAACTAAAATACGGAATTTATAGATGTGCATGGTAAGGGCCTGAACCCATGAATCATTCCATAAAGCGCACGTGTTCTATGACCTGATTTTGTTTCGACATTAAAACAAGTGTGATATTTTCATTTACACTCAGCTATTCCCGTATCGATAACATAACCAGTTGGAGTAGACAATCATAATAGATGAATAGGGGAGAATTTTACCTTTGGTTATCCAATATGCTTAGATCTATGTTTTTATCTTACATTAACATGATTAATGTGAACTTAATTTGACCAGTCTGATGAATTGGCCAGTGATGACAAGTTTACGTTAGTATTAGCTTTCTTAAACCCTCAACTCAGAAGGTCTTATTATTAGCAAACAATGAATCTGGACATGAAACATCAAAGAGATTATGCTAATAAATTGCACAAATATTTAAGATATACATGTCTGTTAAGATTCCGTTGTTTACAACTGCTGAGCCTTATAACATTTAGGAAATTCCCATGGTTATACATCTTTTTTTTCAATTATAGCACAGTACAAAAAATGCTGTAAAATGATACGTTACCGATCGGAACCCATTATAAATTATTGTTTAAAGAGAGCAAGTGCAAAAATTAAACAAGACAAAGCTGTTACAATGAGTAGATTTTAATGATTACTTACTTTATTAAAAATTAAGCAAAACACCTCTAATTTCTTGCACAGGCGCTCCCCATGTAATTCTGTAAATGACGAATGATAAGTATATATATATATATATATATATATATAGGTCTACCCCTCAATACTATAAAATCAACAAGGTTGATTTTATAGTATTGAGGGGTAGACCTATATATATATATATATATATATATATATATATATATATATATATATATATATATATATATATATATATATATATATATATATATATATATATATATTATCATTAGTCATTTACAGAATTACATGGGGAGCGCCTGTGATTTCTTGGTCATTTATCAAAGCATAATTAGAAGTGATGCACTAACTATTTGTTCTCACATATTCTAAATGACAAATTCTAAATCTGTATTCATAAGTCAGTGATAGTTGTGAATAAACAATGCACATACTTGCATAACAAATCCAACAAGTATTCAAATCATTCTCTTTATTGTTTCAACAACCTAAGATTTATGGGTACACAGATAGGGCACTAGGTTTAGTTCGGGGGGAATTCAGCGATACGGTACGCAAGGCCTTGACCTTTCAGCGATTCATGAGCTCTTTTGGAATGTCATTAAGTTTATGTAAGCAGAAACAGCCATCCTCGCTACGTCCAGGCTTCCAGGCTCAAACTTTGACGTTGTGGGGATGCCACACAGCATCAAATTCCCGTTAACAAAATTGAACAGTTATTAATCATTTACTTTACAAATGCGAATTATAGGCTGTGAGCACATAATGTTTTTCTACGTTTGTCAATTTGACATTTATCTAAGTTTTTTTTTTTCATTTCCCCCACACTTGTTTCAATGTCGAAACAAAATCAGGTCTATAGAATTACTAAGTGATGCTTTATAACACGTGCGCTTTATGGAATGATTCATGGGTTCAGGCCCTTACCATGCACATCTATAAATTCCGTATTCCAGTTTCAGTTTTTTATTTAGTAATTTCGTTTTCTTTATTTAATAATTTCGTTTGTCTTTTATTTAATAATTTCGTTTTCTTTATTTAATAATTTCGTTTTCTTTATTTAATAATTTCGTTTGTCTTTTATTTATTAATTTCGTTTTCTTTATTTAATAATTTCGTTTTCTTTATTTAATAATTTCGTTTGTTTCTTTATTTAGTAATTTCGTTTTCTTTTATTTAATAATTCCGTTTTTTATTTAATAATTTCGTTTTTTATTTAATAATTTCGTTTTCTTTATATAATAATTTCGTTTTCTTGTTTCTTATTTTTTTGGTTTGCACTATTGGGCTTCCGTACATTGGCGGTTTACTGGCACTGAAATTTAATGAAATAAAGCATAAATAAACTTTGTTTACTTAAGATTTGCAGTTTGACGCATTTTCATTAACCAATACCATACAAATAATCGACTTATAAATAAATATATCAAACAACATTTTTTCTTTTCGTAATGAAAGATGGTCTGTGTAACTTAGTCCAAGGAGTTCAAGTGATAATGTTGTCAGATCTTTTTGTTACTATTTTTGTTTTGTTTTTTTACTTTCTATGAATTGTTCATAATAATTTCAAATGCATTTGTTTAATTTCATAAGGTTACCTGATAGAAAAGACAGGATCCTATGATGTCGCCTTTTACCTCAGTGGAACTGCTACCTTGTTCAGCGGAGTAATATTGTTAATCATTCCAATCAGAGGTTGTTTTCAGAAGTCCAAGAAATACGTCATATCATCTGTTACCTGAAGAAATGTGTGAAATAGAAGTAAATATTTTTATATGTTGCCAAAAAAAAAAAAAAAAAAACAACACCAACAACAACAACAAAAAAAAAACAAAGAAACATAACCACGCAATGACTTTATCAATCGGTTATTAAAAAAAAGTAGAGAGAGAAAGAGACTGAAACACTGACCATGCATGATTTAACGTTCATTTAGGAAGCTGCACTTCATCTGTTGCTCTACACAAAAAGTTTTAGGATCAATGTATTTTAAATATATATGTGCATAATTTTATTAAGTTTTTTTTATTTTTTTTAAATCCTGAGGATCATTCAGGGGGTTTTGTATGAGTTTTAAATGCAAATCACTTCTATGAAACACCAGAAAGAAAACACCTTAGACCCTTCACACTCAAATCCCAAAATGATACTTGTCAACATATTTAAGAAGGCTCAATACAATTTTTTTTAAAAATATATATGCAAGAATCATTTTTTTTCTACATTCACTATAGAGTATAAGATATTGTAGAGAGTAACTAATATAAATTATATAAGAAGATATGGCTGAAATACTGCACACGCGGCTATAAAACAATAGATAATCATAATCTAAAATAACATTACCATAAAAATCATCATTCTTAACAGTAGATATTTTACAGGCAAATTAACATTGGTTATTGCTTTTCTTCATAACTATTTTAAAGATGGTCTCCATGGATTCCGCTGAGATACATGTATATTGCATAGTAAACGATAATTTTGTCAGATTAATTTTGTGTTATCTCTACTTCAAAAACAGAATATATTTATATATTTTCTTAAATAAAGATACAGCACTGTACACATACCGGACAGTTTATAAGGATATTACTTTATGATCAGGTGAAAACTGTTTACTGGAAATGGATTGATATGAGTTATTATGTCCCTTGATTTTGTAGAAAATAATTTGTAAAATAAAAAATGATTTTATTTGTAAAAAGAAACATTATTTATTTTCTCTAATGAAACGAAATTACACTTTAAAGTGCTGTTCTTTAAGATAATTCCTTATGGTTAATAGAAAGTATTTTTAAAAAATACTGTAATTTGAAATTGAACACTTGCATTTTAATCTTTTGAAGATTTTTAATTTTTTATATTCATCTCATATCTGAATGTATGATGTGGTATTTTTCTTCTCCGGAGCTAGCATGTTGTTAGATGTTGCTGTTTTTGTTTTTGTTTTGTTTTTTTTTTTTCTTTTTTTTTTTTCTTTTTTTTTTTTTCTTTTTTTTTTTTTTAACAATTTTTGTTGTTATTTTTCATTTATTTATTATATATTTTTAATTATTTATCTTGTTCTTTGTTTGTGTGGTTGTGGTTTTTTTTTATTGTTTGTTTGTTTGGTGCCAGTTGTTTTTTTTTTTCCGGAAGGGTGGGGGTGGTCAATTTAATTAATGATAGAACTCCTTGATATTGTCACGCAAGTTACTACAAAAGAAACAGGTTATACTTTCACATACTTCCCGATTTCTTAAGTATTTATATGCAGTATCATATACATGAATTGAAATTTACATTCTGAGCTAGGACGTTTTCTACTACGTTGACCCTAGAAGGGTTCAATAATTATGTAATTTTAAATGAAAACTTAAATTTCATCACTTTTATTGGGATTATGTAAATTAGAACACCAAAGACACATTTGGTTAACTAAAATCATGTGCTTAATCACTTCAAGTTTTTAATAGGGATTGAGACTGTTTATTTAATAAACACATTATTCTCTCAGTTTTAGGTACAATTATAGACATGGAGAATCCAAGGGGAATAGTTATAGCGGTTTCAGCGTTTCTCATTCAATTCGTTACGTTCGGAATTTACCTTTCTTTTGGTATCTTTGTTATAGAATTACAAAATGGGTTTGATTCGGGGTTATCAATAATTTCTTCTATCGGTTCAATACATATTGGATTTCAGTTGAGTTAAGGTCTGTATCTTTTGCAATCTGTAAAATTCTATATTTTATATTCATTTTATTTATATAATAACATATTACGTATCATTTTATAGTCTATTTATAGTTATTATATATATCTATACAAACATAGATTTTTTTATAACAATCGAAAATGCCTTAGAGGTCGGACATTATAACTTGTAAAATGAGTATTCAAAATATTATATATTATATAAATCAAATAGGATTTAATTTAATATCTACAACGTCGATATTTAAACGTGTCTGTTATATTTTATTGTAAATTCTTTAACTTGTTGCGCCTCGGGATGTTCTTCCCTGAATTTGGAGGGATAAGTTTTTATCTCTAGTAACACAAGAAATTCTTTCAATTGGCGTAATTAAAATTTGTGCAAATTTTGACACAGAATGTGTTAGGAACACAAAATGTGAATATACATGTATTTTTTATTTCTTCATTACATTAAGTGTTGACAGATTTTTGAAACTTCTAGAAATGTGGTTTAAAATAGTATTCAATGAAATCTAGTTTTGAACATTAAATCCATAGAGTGTTATCATGTTTTGCGTTAACCTCGACGCAACATATTATAACGCAAAATGTAATAGTCCAAAAGAGTGTGTTATTACATTCTGCGTTATTATATTCTGCGTTGATTTCGACGCAAAATATAATCATCTCAGTTTATTACATTTTGCGTCATTTTGTTTTGAAACAAAGCTTGTATCCCTACGCTAAACTTTTTAAATAGCTCACCTGAGCCGAAGGCTCAAGTGAGCTTTTCTGATCAATGAGTGTCCGGCGTCCGTCTGTCGTCTGTAAACTTTTCACATTTTCGACGTCTTCTCAAGAACCACTGGGCCAATTTCAACCAAACTTGCTACAAAGCATCCTTGGGTGAAGGGGATTCAAATTTGTTCACAGGAAGTGCCGCGCACTCTTTCAAGGGGAGATAATTAAGAATTTGTGAAAATTTTGTGGCATCTTTTAAATATATCCTTCTCAAGAACCACTGGGCAAGAAAAGATGAAACTTATGTGAAAGCTTCATTACATACTGTAGATTCAAATTTGTTCCTATCATAACCCCCGGGGGTAGGGCGGGTCCACAAGAAGGCGTCAAAGTTGTATAGGAATATATAAGAAGTGTCTTTAAAAATCTTCTCGATAATAGCAAAGCCATAATTAGTCATATTACTACAAAAGTATCCTCAGGTAGTGTAGATTCAAGTTTGCTTCAATCATGAGCCCTGGGGATAGGGCAGGGCCACAACAGGGGGGTTAAAGTTTACCAAAGTAATATATAGGAAATATCTTTTAAAATCTTCTTCTCAAGAATAGCTAGGCCATTATTAGACATATTAATACAGAAGTTCCTCAGGTAGTGCAGATTCAAGTTTGTTCAAATCATGACCCCTGAGGGTATGGCGGGGCCACAAAGGTTTACATATGAATGAAATATATGGAGATAACGAACAGAATTCAAGCTCAAAAGTCCATTAATCAATATAGGAGTAGAGCAAATATATAGGTGTAATGGTTAAGGGGCATTAGAGTAAAACGCATTGAAGACTTCAAATAGTTGAATGATCTGACAACCCTTGGAATGGACTAGCCTAAGGGTATATAAGGCAAAGCTTTTGGAAAGTTAGGCATTCAGAAGGTAGCTGTAGAAGTTGGATGATGAATCAGCAATAAAGAAGTTAAGATATTCCATCCTAATAGCAAAAGATTCAATGAAATTGAACATATAACAGATGGAAGGTGTAGAATACTTAGTATATTTAGACACAATTCCCATTTATTACTATTAACATGTAAGGGTGGGATGTGTCCTAATTTATGACCTTGAATTTTGGTAGGAGTTATCTCCCTCTGTTTTTAATTAATAGAAAAATCAATCTTAAGAAACTTATCTGGTAAAAAATGTTTTCAATTGTCATTCTATTTTTAATGTGTTTTAGTGCATTTTTCCACTACAGTATTTATTGCTATTCTTATCATTTGAATTTTTATTTTTAAAAAATTGCTCCATAGACTTCAATGCAATCTTTGTTAAGTACTTACTGCTTCTTTAATTACATTTGTGAAACTTTCTTCTGGTAAATCCTTTTCTATTGTAAAATGCTTTCAGTTAATATCAGATTATTATGTATGTTATGGACATTTAAGGATAGAGGATGGAAAACCTAAAGGGTAAAAGCAAAATAAAAGTATGAAAGTTATAAACACCAGTGGCAAGTATCCTAGGGAATTGATGTTAAGGACATTGGCAAGGTTCCTGGTTTTTGGATAGAATTTTTCAAGAACTTTTGAGTAGGTTTAAATGTATTAAACAGGCTATATTCAGGATCGTTTTACCTACCAATCCAACATTCTTTTTTAGATTTTCTCAAGTTAGTGTTTTTACAAATTTTAATGCATTTACTATGTAAAATGTTGATAAAAGGAACCTACATAATTTTTTACCATAATATTTCTTCAAAACCCATTTATTTCATACAGTTTTTGTATTATATACATTATTGTATCTTCATTTCCTATGACTTCTAGATATTTTGGCTGAAAATGTATATATAAAAACAAGACATGAATATACCGGCACCGATCATCATTTTTGAGTTGCGTCCCTTAACAGCTAAACTTGGTCTCGAGACTGGTTGATTGTTTTTATAATGTAATTGACTGAATTGATTGAAACACATTGTCATAAAAATATTGGCATGGATTTATTTTTAACTTTTATTCGTAGTTACTAAATGCTGATTCCTTCACACGACCTAAGAACTGTTCTCAGTCGGCATGGTCGACCTACCTTTCATCTTTGTCCTTCCCAGCAAACTGAGCATTACTATAGTAAATAACGAACTGTTGGCTCTTTGTCCCTGAATACAATGTACAATAAAGCCATTACTGCTTTTCTCTCTTGCTGTACAGATGATTCTACCCGTTGAGGGAAGTACACGTGCTTTTGCTTACTTCTGTAACATACGCTTTATTGGTTTTCACCGCTTAGAGAATTCTACACGAGAGATCACTCTCAATCACTATTTTATAAGTGAAAAAACCCATGATTGTATTAAACCTTTTTTCTCCGGAAAACTCTGACTTGCCAATGTCCTTAAGCTCTGGGTGTAGTAAATCTGAAGAAGATTGAGAAAACTGGTTCTTATCTATCAATGGGAACCTAGGGGAGAAACACGGTGCAAATAGTACCTTACCCAGTCCCCATCTCTAGATAAGAGAAAAGGATGTATTCACTATTACAAAAGAATTGACCTATAGGAGAGAACAATTTCCCGGAAAAAGTGACATTTAAAAATCAGTCTTTATTTGTTGTTTTCTACCGTATATATGTCTAAATTTTTCAAATTTGTATTTTACAACTAAAATTTATTATTTACAACTTTAAAATAAACCTCCAAAGTTGGCCTAAACACCAAAGCGTTGATTTTTGCATGAATTTTGGCCTAGAAGTCCTTCAGGGCAGGCCTGCCCCTAAATAAAATTGTGATATTTTGATAGGTTGGGATGTAAGGAATAATTTAAGATAGGATTTTTTTTTAGGGGCACCCCTGCCCTTGGGTCGAAATTCACAAAAAACCTACAAAAAATAAGTAAACTTGATTCTCCGAGGACAAGAATAACTCACTCTGTGTTACTCGCTACAGGTATTATCGGCAGCATTGAGCTGCGATGAATTTCAATTGTATATATTCCTTAGAAATTAATCACATTACTTGTA